GCTGCGACAGAGGAATAACGAAGCATTGAAACAGGAATCTAAGTGGGTTATTTTTCTTCCTTTCTGGGGCCCAGTTATTTGCCTGTTAGCCAACCCGGAGATGAGACTGAATTTATGTCTCACCAAAGAGGCACCAGAAAGGGAAGGAGAGAGACACAGAGACAGACAGAGAAAATTATGCAGAGGTTGTTGAGTTTTTTGTGTTGGTTTTTTTTTTTTTTTTTTTTTTTTTTCCTCTTCTGTCTCCTCGGTAGAATCCTGCCGCTCTGTCTCCGGGGAGCAGTTCGCCCTCCAGAAAATATGACACTTTATTTCCTGCCCTTGTTTGTGAACACACCCCATTACCATCCATCTCAGTTTCATGTCGCTGCCAGCCGGCATTAACGCCCTCCTCCTCGCCGCCGAGGCAGAAAATAGAAAAGGAAGAATTCAGCAGATTTCCCCCGTGGCACCCTCCGTGGCACCAAGATAACCAGAGCCGAAACCACAATTGGATTCTTATTCCTTCGGCCCAGGAATGCCGAAGGGCGGGACAGCTTAACCACCTTCTGCATTTTCCTGCAGAGAGAGTCTCCGCTTGTTATTTCGGTTGTCTGGGATCCCTTCTCTGCTACGGACAAAGATACATTAATTAATTTTTATTTTTTTAAATGTTGGGCAGCAGGAGACTCGGTTGCAAACTGTCAGGAACTGTCAGTGGCGCCGGCCCCAGTCAGGTAAGCGGCCGGCGGCGCCGGCGGCGGAGACACACTGACCCCTAGTGGCCGGCCGGGCCCTCGCAGCGCCCGCGCCCCGCCCTCACGGGGTGGGAGAACGTGGCTCTCAGATCAGCAACTCCGTGTGGGCCAGGGGCGTGGCGGGGGCTGGGTCTCCACCGCCTGCCCCAAGGCACGCACACACGTGCGCGCACAAACACGCACATACGTGCACATACAAACACGCAAAGACACGCGCGCACACACCATGTCCAATTGCTTCTCTCCTTTTCCAATGTTCAGGATTTTCCTGAACCCTCAGGGTGCTATCCCTGGCCTACAAATAGGCCTTTTTTTTTCTATCTTTTTTTTAACATATTTTATTGATTTTTTACAGAGAGGAGGGAGAGGGATAGAGAGCTAGAAACATCGATGAGAGAGGAACATCAATCAGCTGCCTCCTGCACACTCCCCACTGGGGATGTGCCCGTAACCAAGGTACATGCCCTTGACCGGAATCAAACCCGTGACCCTTGAGTCCACAGGTCGACGCTCTATCCATTGAGCCAAACCGGTTTCGGCAAAGGCCTTTTTCTTTGGTCTTAAGAAGTTGTGAAGAAAGGCAGGCAGGGTCCCAGGAGGGCATACAGCTGAGAGGGAGGAAGGGAACCCACTTTTGTGGAGAGACTCCTTTGGGCCAGGCACCATAGTGGCACATGTTAACCTTCTGCAGCCTTAAAATAGCCCCAATGTATGAGAATTGGAAACTAAGGCTCTGGCTGCCCAATGGCTTGTCCAAGTCTCAAAGCTAATGTTTTTTATGGATTGTACTGATTTTAATGAGCACATATCGATAGTTACCTAGCGCTTATCGGCCAGGCATTCTTCTAGCACTTCGCCTATATTAAAATGACCTATACTGAATCCCCCATTACAACCCGAGGAGGTAAGTACGTCCATTTCACAGATGAGAAAGCGGAGGCACAGAGAGGTTACGTGGCTGCTGGATGGTGGATCCAGCATAGAGCCCAGGCCGTCTGGCTTTGGCGTGTTCTTCGTGTATCTCTCCAGGGCTCCAGACCCTCTCCTCCATCTCTCCTCACCTCCCCCGGGGACAAAGGGCTGCGGCAGGAGAGGGAGCAGCCATTTTAACTGCCCAGGAAGGAAGAAGCCTGTGAACGAGGTGGTACTGATGTCACAGACAGTGCCATTCACCTTCAGAGCCTCATCCACGGAGCCACACAGCCAGGCAACTTCAGGAAGGAAGGCTCAAGGGGAAGGGGAAGGCGGGAGGGAGGCTGAGAGGGCTGCACAAACCACAATGCTAGCTCATGCTCTACTACCACCTTGTGAGCAGGTATTTTCAAACACACCCACACTCTTTTTTTGGGGGGGGTGGGGGCAGGGGGTGTCAATACAAGGTGACTAGCTAAACTGTCATTGAGCATACCCTATGCCACACTCCTGTGACTACTACATCACAAATGCGTGCCCCCCTCTTTGTATACTATCTCATGTGAGCTACAGAGCAGCCCCATGAGGTAAGTATAACCAGCCCCACTTCTTTTTTTTCTTTTTTTTAATATATATTTTTATGGATTTCAGAGAAGAAGGAAGAGGGAGAGGGAGAGGAAAGAGAAAGAAACATCCTTGAGAGAGAATCATGGATGGGCTGCCTCCTGCACGCCCCACTCTGGGGATGGAGCCCACAAACCTGGGCGTGTGCCCTGACCGGCTCTCCTGCTGTCACTGCCACCCAGGATCCCCACGCAGGAGAGCCCAGCCCCCACCGCCACCCCAGAGGCCCCATCCTTCCTTCCAGCAGTTGCTCGAACTGGCCAGGCCTGTTCCAGTCTTAAGACTTGGGCCCGAGCCCTTCCCTCCGCCGGGAAGGCTCTTCCTGTGCGTGGATCTCCACGCGGTTGGCTCCTTCCTGTCATTCCGGTGTCGGCTCAAGTGTCACCTCCTCCGAAAAGCCTTCCTTGTCCACCCAACCCAAAATAGCCTTCCAGTCACTCTCTTGCATCACCCGCGTGTTTTCTTCCCAGCAGCTATGGATCTGGTGATTTCTTGGTGAGTTACTATTGTTAGTCTCCTCTCCTGTGTAACAGGGGCTATCAGTTGCATAGCACGAACCGACTCTGCGCCAGGGCCAAGTTCCAAGAGCTTTACACACAGTCAGTCATTTCACCTCCACAACCGTCCCTCATCGTAAGCTCTGTTATTGTCCTCGTGTTACAGGAGGGGGAACTGTGAGACCAGACAGTTCCAGCTACTTGTCCAAGATTCCACCTTCAAGTAGGCTCTGCTCCTGGCCACCACAGAAACACCAGCCCCTTCAACCACAAAAAAAGGCAACAATTGAATTTTTAAATGGGTAAAGGATTTAAATAGACATTTCTCCAAAGATACATAAGTGGCCAATAAACCTGTGAAAAGGTGGTCGATATCATTAGTCATTAGGAAAGTGCGATCAAAACCACAATAAGATACCCCTTTCACACCCCCTCAGATGGCTATAATTTATTTTTTTAATATATTTTTTTTTATTTCAGAGAGGAAGGGAGAGGGAGAGATAGAAACATCAATGGTGAGAGAATCATTGATTGGCTGCCTCCTGCATGCCCCCTACTGGGGATCGAGCCCCCAACCTGGGCATGTGCCCTTGACCGGAATTGAACCTGGGACCCTTCAGTCCGCAGGCAGAAGCTCTATCCACTCACCCAAACCGGGTAGGGCCGGATGGCTATAATTTACAAAGATAACAAGTGTTGGCAAGGACGAGGAGAACTTGGAACCCTCGGACAATGCTGGTGGGAATGTAACATGGGGCAGCCCCTGTCGTAGACGGTTTGGTGGTTCCTCAGAAAGTTAAACACAGAATTGCCTTATGACCTGCAACTCCACTCCTAGATACACTCCGGAAATCAGAGACTCAAAACCCAAATGTGTACCCGAATGTTCACAGCAGCACCATTCACAACAGCCGACAGGTGACAAGAACGCAAATGCCCATCCAATTACGAATGGATGAGCCCAGTGTGCTGTTGCCATACAACGGGCTATCAGTCACCACAAATGGACCCAGGGACTGACCCACACTACAAAATGGATGACACTGAAAGACATATGCCAGCCGTGCCCCCCCCACCCCCCATCTGTCTCTCGCTTCAGCCACGTTTGGATGGAGCAGAGCCAGGAACGCTCCTTCTTCCACCTCTGACCTCCCTCCACCTCTTTTCCAGTCACCATCCTCAGCCTCCGAGACCAGACACCGTTTTCTGACCTTCACTCCTTATTGCCAAACAACCGCGAGCTCCCAAACTGGCCAGAATGATTCCCCCGAGGTGGTAGCTGCCGTGCACCGCCCCGGCCAGCCAGCATCCGGGGCCTCCGGCACCTACCTCTCTCCGGGCTTCATGGCCACCGCCAGGATGTGGCTCTCCCGGGCGTGGGCCTCGAAAGGGCACTGGAGTCTCTTCACGCTGCAAACTCTCTTCCAGGACGTGCCTCTTAGGAGGAGTGGGCAAAACTCAGGGCGCCATGGAAGCCGCCCTGGCCTAGGCGAGGAGCCTGACCTTTGGGAGCTGCAGACCCCGTGACAGCCCCTCAGCTCCGTGACTTCCTGCAGAACCACTTCCGGGGTGAGCAGGTGAAATGCATCAAGATGGGCGACACTGGACACCTCCCAGGCTGCTGGCCCCCAGGCGGGGCTGGGCTGGGTGAGTGTCCCTTCAAAAGGCTCACCCTCCAGCACCACCAGGACCTTAGGAGCCCAGGCCTCTGGGTGGACCCTCTGCATCCCCCTGGGGTCTGGCTTTTGCCTGAGCCTCTCCCTGAAACCACGGGGCAGCCTTGTAACCTTCCCGGAACCCTCTCCCATGCATTGGACCAAATAGAAACAATAAAGCTTTTTGCAAGGGGGTGGGAGGGGCGTTCAATGGTTGGAGCGTCGTCCTGTCGTACACCAAAAAGGTCCCAGGTTCTATTGCTGGCCAGGGCACATATCTAGGTTATGGGTTTGATCCTGCTTGGGGCATGTACAGCAGGCAACCAATCCATGTTTCTCTCACTCTTTCTCTCCTTCCCCTTCCACCCTCTCTAAAAAGCAATGGGGGGAAAAATATCCTAGGTGAGAACTGACACACCAAAAAAAAGATTGCTCTTGTGAAAAATTGATGGGTGTTTGTATTTTCATCCACTCCGTGTATTCTGAGAATGGTGAGTTTTCTGATTCTGGATTCGCAAGGATAAACAATGGGTGTGGGAGGGGAGGGGGAGAAAAGGAGGCACCACACACAGAAAGCTGGTTGAACACGGATGTTTATTAGAGCAGAAGAGAAGGAGGAGATAGGTGACCACACACCTCCAGGGCCCCAGGCGGTGCTCCACGCTGCCAAACTAGACCTCCGGAAGGCCCCAGGCTCTGCAGGCCCAGCTCCCTCTGCCCCAGGGAGGCCCTGGTGCTGCCCACCCTTCCAGCTGGAGGAAGCCCCTGGGGCAGGGGGGTAGGGCGAGGGGTCACTTTAAGCAGTGGTCTCGGTGAGTAATGCAGATTAATAAAATGAAGCAGCACACGCGTTTGCCATCGATCCCCACGGCCATCTCTGCCGTGGCCACGGGTCATAAGGTCTGATCGACATCCGTTTCCGCAGCTGAAAGAAATAAATGCAAGGAGGAGCCTCCTCCCGTTCCGCCATTCTCCAGGTCCGTGTTATCAGAGGGCTCCCTGGGAAAGAACGGGAAGACACAGTGAGCATGATGCTGATGGGGATGGAGGGCGAGGAGGGGCGGGGAGGAGGAGAGAGTGGGATTTAGAAGGAGGGTGGGATGGCTGTCCTTCCTGAGCCCCTCCTGGGACATGCCAGGCAGCCTGCTTTCCAAGCACTGACTTTCTCAGGCTCAGAACCAGATCCACCACGTGAGGGAGGAGCTCTCACTGTCCTGTTTCACAGGTGAGGAGCCTGATAGAGCCTCGGGGCAGTTTTCCCCAAGTGGAGTCTCGATCTGAATGCTCTTGGCCTCCTGATTCCAAGCTGACCGGTGCCTCCAGCATCCTCGCCCGCCCTCGTGTCAATGGAGCTGTTAGGAGGGGGGCCTCTGCGGAATCCTGTTTTCAGGAGCCACCCACCCCCACTCCAGCTCACCAGCACGGCCTGTCCTACCCGGAGGCAGAGGTCTCAGTGGCCCCTCCGAGGGTGCTGCCCTGGGGCTCACTCACCCCCAAACCCCTCCTCTTGCCTGGCCTGCGCAGCAGTAATAGGTGCCTCCAATCGTGGAGGCACTGACTGGGTGCCAGGCCCCATAGGTATCGTCATTGCCCCCATTTACAGGTGCAGAAATGGAGGCTCAGAGAGGCTAGGCCACTGGTCCAAGGCCACAGAGCGGAAACATGGAAAGCGGAACCCAAGTCTGCCGGGTTCAGAGTCTGAGCTCCTAACTGCTCCCGGCTGTGTTTTCTGGAAGAAGCCAAGCTCGGACTTCGGGTGCCGGAGGCCCAGGGTCTCTGTGCAAGGGGAGGAGCAGGCTCCAGAGGCTGCAGGAGCCGGAACAGGGAGGCCTCCCCCGGCGCTCAAAAGCAGAACCTCTGTGCCATTCCCAGCAGACGCTCCTCTGTCTGTTAAAGCCCCTCAGAGGGACTCCATGTCACGCACACACACACACACACACACACACACACACACACAGGACCCCTCACTGCCGTCCACATCAAGTGTACAGAACTGGAGTGGTCAGAAGGCTGACATACCAACCACCACCCAGCACCAGGCAGTAGCTTACTCAGGCTCAGTGAGGCCCTCTATAAAACTGGATTGAAATGCACACCCTGGCTGAAACCGGTTTTGCTCAGTGGATAGAGCATCGGCCTGTGGACTGAAGGGTCCCAGGTTTAATTACAGTCAAATGCATATACCTTGGTTGCGGGCACATCCCCGGTGGGGGGGGGGGGGGTGTAGGAGGCAGCTGATCCATGTTTCTCTCTCATCAATGTTTCTAACTCTCTATCCCTCTCTCTTCCTCTCTGTAAAACATCAATAAAATATATATTTTTTTAAAACAGAAGATACAATTATTTTTTTAAAATGCACACCCTGAAAGGACACAGGAGTCTTAAGGGGATCAAATGAGAGAACGTGGGTGAGAGCACCCCCGCAATTACAGAGAGCGATGCTCGGAAGGGCGTGTCCCGGAGCCCAATCCCAGTAGCACAAAATTACCACAAAGACACAGGCCCTCTTAACCATAACCAGAGGGGACGGTCTGCCCCACTGCACCCTGCTCGGCTCTGTCCGCACAAGTGACCGAGGAGGAATGGCATTCACCAGGCTTAACCTCCGAAGGGATTTGCTACTTTATCTAATAGGATTCGGGAAGGGGGAAGGGGATGGATATAGACAGTGAGGGAAGAAACCACAGGCTCAGTAGGAACCCGGTGCAGGATGGGGTGGGGGGCGGAGGTGGGGGCAGCCCTGATCAGGGGAACAGAAGACTAAGCCCAGAGGAAGAGGGAAGACGAGCCAGGCACAGTCCCAGCCTGGAGGACTATGGGAAGGCAGGAAAGGAATTGCTGATCCTGGTGACAGCGGTGAGGATGCTGACGATGGGTGTCATTGGCTGAGCCCAAGGATGCTGCCCCCACCTGGACAGACCCAAGCCCCAACAAACCACGCCTGTCCGATTTGTATTCTGGAATGACCTTTTCTGGACAGCAAATAGGGTCACGTCCATCCCCTATTTGGGATCTCTTGGTGAGCTGATCGGGGCCAGGACCCCTCGCACCCTGGCTGCCCCCTATCTCCCCGGCCCCGCTCTTTCAACATGACCGGCTAACGGCTGTTTCCCTGGTGTGTGCTCTGGGGGGCCTCTGAGCCCGTGCACGGCAGTCACCCTGAAACAGAAGGCCCGAGGGAACCCACCTACCGGAGCGGACGCCGAGCCCCTTACACGGGGTGGACCAGGTTCCTGTCGCAGTGCGGCTTGCAGTGCGGGTTCAGCCAGTGCTCCAGGAACTGCTCCTCGGCGCGGTGCTCCAGGCGGAGCAGGTGGTGCATGTACTCCTGTCAGAACAAACCCCCCGGGAAGAGAGCCTTTGTCCAGGTGACCGCGAGCTGCGGATGCTCGGGGCGGCTGTGGTCCTGAGACAGGAAGCCGCCAGGCCGAGGGAGGAGAGACCGCCACCTCCAGGCCTCTGTGGAGACCACGGACCCACTCGGTGGGCAAAAGGAGGAATTCTGACAGCCCTAAGTGCTGAGAGGGTGTGTATCCGAGGGAACGCGTCTACACTGATGGGGGGTAACATGGACCAGCCACTGGACCTCACTCCCCGTTCACACCCCGGCCCTGTGCTCCTCAGACGCTATCTGTCGTCAGGATGGTCTGGAGGGCTGGTGAAAACACGGGCTGCTGGGCTTCGCCCCCAGAGATTCTATTTCAGAGGGTCTGAGGCCGCAGAATTTGCATTTCTAACAAGTTCCAAGCCTGTGCTGATGCCGCTGATCGCTTCGAGGCCAGAGAAACTCTTAAATCAAGAGCTGTGCAGAAGGTTGTGCACAGCAGCAGTAAGTCTGTAGCAGCAAAACACTGGAAACATGCCAAATACCACTGACGAGAGAATGGATAAATAAATTAAAGTAGGGTTTCAACATGGAATATTGTTCAGCAGTGTTGTATATACCTAGAAATCCATTTAGCTACATACAACAACATAGATGAGTCCTCGAAATAGCACGTTGAGGAAAAACACACACACACACACAGCAAAGCCAGTAGGGCATTTATAATGTGGGACCATTTTTATAAACCTCAAGACATACACAATAATAGATTAGTTATGGCTGCATGCATTTGTGATAAAAATCATCTTTTTTTTTTTTAACGCAAGGGATAACCACAAGGAAGCTGAATTTGCTGTACTACTGTGTTTCCCCGAAAATAAGACATTCTCCAAAAATAAGACATAGCGCATGGAAAGATAAGACATCCCTTAAAAATAAGACCTAGCGCAACTTTGGGAGAAAAAATTAATATAAGACACTATCTTATTTTCGGAGGAACAGGGTACCTTATTATCAAATAAAACAGGCTTTGCCCTCATTGGTGTGGCTCAGTTGGTTGGATGTCATCCTGTGTACACCGAAAGGTTGCCGGTTCAATTCCCAGTCAGGGCACTTGCCTGGGTTTCGGGTTCAATCCCCTGTAGAGGGCATGCAGGAGGCAGCTGATTAATATTTTGCTCTGCACATTGATGTTTCTCTCTCTCTCCCTCTCTCTCTTCCTCTCTCGAAAAATCGTTTAAAATACATTTTTTTAAAATATTTTTAAAAAAGAAAAATAAATAAGAACTGTTTAATGGCGGTGCAAATAAATGAATGATAAGGTGTCTAATTTTCCTGAATTGTTTTTTCCTTCCCCTAGAACCCATGCAGTTTGAATTGTTTTGGTTATCATGGATGTTTTTATTTAACTCATTGAAATGCACCCCATGTCCTGTGGGCAGGACACCTCTGGGGCAGCCAAGGTGGGAGTGGATGGTGAGAAGGCTCCTCATGGAACCCAGCACTGATACCCCGGGAGCGTGCTGAATGAGGTTGTGAGTTTTGGACTGAATTCTGCCCTGTCCTGCCCTCTCTGGGGAATGTTTGGCCAGAAGAATAATAAGTGGGAGGAACAGGAAGGCACTGTGGAGTCTTGTAAATAAGGAACAAAGACTTCCCAACACATAGCTTTGCTTATTCAGCTATTCACTGTCAGCAGTGGGCTGAAGGAACCCATGTTACCTGGTTGCTGGGCAATGTGGTGGAGAGGCTAAGAAGTCTGGGTCAGCGTCTGGTTCAAAGCCAGACTCTGTCAACGTTGCTTTACTCCAGACTCAATTTGTCCATCTGCAAAATGGGGGAGACACTAGCACTTATTTCACTGAGTTGCCAGGATTCAATTAAATTATAAAGTTCTGTACCAAATACCCCTTTTTGCCCCTCTAAACCTGTATCACCCCTCCTTCACATGGCCCTGAGCAGGGAGCGACCTACCTGGATGAACTGCAAGCACAGACGCCCTTGTCCAGGGGCTTCCCGTGGGTATGACGTAGGGGAAAGAGGAGAGAGGCTGGGTGTTTGTTCCTGGTCCCTCCCCGAGGAGTCACAGAAGGCTGGCTGCCTCCCTCTCCTGAAGACCCATCTCCTCAAAGGCTACACTCTCCAAGCCTGGAACCATAACTTTCCCTTCCCCCTTCAGGACTAAGGGCTATTAGCCCTGGATCCGTGATCATCTCTTGTTGGTTTTACCTTAATCCTGGGACAGCTTTGCAACAAGTCTCTTTGTTAAGCTCTCGGGTGATTCTGGTAACTATTAGATGAGAAAGACCCGAGTATGTCTCGAGGTTGTGCATTAAGCATCTCTCCCATGAGCCAGTCCACAGGAAACTTGCAATAAATGCCAGCTGAATGCAAGACTGAAGCAGAGGGTCTCAACATGTGCTCCCCCTGGGGGTCTGTGAGGTCAAAACTATTTTTAGAACAATACTAAGACATGACTTAGTTGCCTTCTGATCGTGTGCATGGATGGATAAAACTGGTGCCCTAGCAGAAGTCAAGGCGGTGGCTCCCACTATCCTAGAAGTTATTGTGCCCTCTCTGGTAGCTCAATTGGTTAGAGCAACATCCCAATAGGCCAAGGTTATGGGTTCAATCCTCCCTCAGGGCACATACAAGTATCAACCAATGAATATATAAATAAGTACAACAAATCAATGTGTCTCTCTTTAAAAAATCAATAAAACATAAATTAAAGTTGTGTCCTTCACCATCACACACTCACAGTTTAAAATCTATGTATATATAAAAGCCTAAGTGACAAGTTACCAGTTGCTATGATGCACATTGACCACCAGGGTGCAGACACTCAATGCAGGAGCTGCCCTGTGGTGGTCAGTGTGCTCCTATAGCCAACCTCCCAGCCCCAAAAGGGGGTCCACTGCCCAACCTCCCACGGTCTCTCCTCCGAGCGGCTGCCCCCTCCACAGAGGCCCCAATTGGGGGAGTGGCCAGCCAACCTCCTGTGGTCCCTCTCCCCAGCCGCCAACTTCCTGTGGTCCCTCCCCACCAGCCAGCCAGCCCTCCAATACACCTCAATCACCTGCCAGGCTGAGGGAGACCCCACCCATGCACAAATTCGTGCACCAAGCCTCTAGTAGATAAATAAATGTAAAATGTTCTTCAAATGTCAGTTTCATTGAACCAAGTCATGATACAGCAGGAAGCATGCAGGCTGCATAGCCAATGGTCTTCATGGGGAAAAGCACTTGGATGATTGTTGGTGTCAAGGATTGAACTAGCAGTGTTTTGTGTGCTTGTTTGGCAGACATCTTCTCGAAAATGAAGAAAGTGAGCTTGTTCCTTCAAGAAAAGCTATAGACAGGACTTATCACAAAATGATAAGCATGGATACACCTTTTATTTTATTTTTTAATATACTTTTATTGACTTCAGAGAGGAAAGGAGAGGGAGAGGAAGAAAGAAACATCAATGATGAGAGAGAATCATCAGTCGGCTGCCTCCAGCACACTCCCTATTAGGGATTGAGCCACAACCTGGGCAGGTGCCCTGACCAGGAATCGAACCGTCACCTCCTGGTTCATAGGTCAATGCTCAATCACTGAGCCATGCCAATTGGGCTATACACTTTTTGTAAGTATACCTTCATTTGCCTTCTTACTCATTTAATTCTGGTCCCACTCGGCCCACATCCACCTGCCTTTTTTATAGCAATGACCAAAGTACCTAGTGCGTGGCACATAATAGGACCTCAATAAAACTTACTGGAGAAATATTAAATAAAAAAAGTGAGTGAGTGAATTAATTAATTGACTGTTCTTTCTCCATAATCTTAGCAAATCCTCTTTGGAAGGACCCCCCAACATCTGTGTCAATCGGCTCATTGCAATAGCCCAGTCCAAATGTACTTATGTATTTCACACTCCTGAGTAGCAGCTGAAATCATAGTTGCAGAAAAACAACCAAAACACACAGAGAGAGAGAGGAAGAGAGAGAGAAACGAGCACTGGTTTCCATGACAGTTCACTATTTATTTAAAATGTTAGGAAAATAAATATGCCACAAAGGCCTACAAGCAATCATTAGTCAAAGATGAAAAGCCCAACTGCAAATCTGCTGAAAACCACAAATTCAACAATTGTGTTGGCTGAGTTAGAAATGACCCGACATTAATGATCATCTCAAATGTTCCTGGATCAAGAAAGAAGAGCTAGATGGAAAATAAATTTTAATTTCTTTTTAGATTCCTTTCTTCGAGGGGGAAAAAAAATTTTAGAACAAAGCAAAAACCAATATCTGTTGCTTCATGGTCAATGCCAAGAGTAATAATGGAAGTAAGTAATTTAACCGTAATTAAAGCAGAGATTGAAAGTGGTCCCTTTTTATGGCACTGGAGTGGTGTGATAATGAAATTATGTACTTGCCCGGCTGGTATTGCTCAGTGGTTGAGCGTCAAGCTATGAACCAAGAGGTCACTGTTTGATTCCCGGTCAGGGCACATGCCTTAATGGTGGGCTCAATTCCCAGCGGGGGGGTGCTATGCAGGAGGCAGCCAATCAAAGATTCTCTCTCGTCATTGATGTTTCTATCTCTCCCTCTCCGTTCCTCTCTGAATTAAATAAAAATATATTTTAAAATAAAATAAAATATCCACCAGAACCTGATCTAAGCTGAGAATCATAAACAGTTCATCTATTAAAGAGCAAACCGGTTTGGCTCAGTGGATAGAGCGTAGGCCTGCGGACAGAAAGATCCCAGGTTCGATTCCGGTCAAGGGCATGTACATTGGTTGCGGGCACATCTCCAGTAGGGGGTGTGCAGGAGGCAGCCGGTTGATGTTTCTCTCTCATCGATGTTTCTAGCTCTCTATCCCTCTCTCCCTTCCTCTCTGTAAAAAATCAATAAAATATATTTTTAAAAATAAATAAAGAGCAAACGGTTCTCAAGAAGACAAAATCCTTCCTCGGACGTTTGCATGGAACTGAAGGCCCAGCAGCGTGTGGATGAGTTATTCTGCTCATCGGGGAAAGCAGGTGCTCACTGGGACAGAGGGTGGCTCTGAAGTTACCTTCACCGCGACACCTGCAGGCCTGCTCAGCCCTGAAAGGAGGCAGGTCAGTGATGCGCACAATGTACTGATCTCAGTCACTCCGATCTGGTCTTTGAGATCACGGGGAACAAAAGGGTAATGGAGTGACTGTACACATGTGTCAAGGGCTGAACATGAAAGAGTAATTCACAAAGGCTCCGTACAATAAAGCTAATATGATTTATACTTGCCCAACGAGAACATTCCTTAAAGGAAGACAGGCCAAAATGGAAAGCCTATTCCCAGGATGCACAAGTGCTTTCGAAAGACATAATTTTAGCTGAGATGTCATCCTTTTGAAGAATTTCCATGCTTCACCCCAGCAGTTGGCAAATAATTTCTTCCCTAAAAATTTGAGACGGTTATGAGAAATGTAATGAATTTGAGGGAGGCGATAGAAGAGATTTCTAGGAAACAGTCTCCAGGTTCTGCAGTAGAGTTATGTCCTGTCAAACGTCTCCCCAGGAGAGAAGCAAGGAAAGGAATGGAAATAAGTATAATGAGCATTTAGTAAATGTCAAATATTGTGCTTGGTGCTGGGGACCCAGAAGTGCGAGAAACAGTCCATCTGCTCAAGTAGTTTAGAGCAGACGAGGAGGAGAGACAGATTTTTTTCAAAGTGAAAAACAGCAATCTTGTGCTGTGAGTTGATGCCACAGGGATGCTCTGATTTACGGCAGGAGGGCGGGGGCATCATGAAGGCCTCTCGAAAAAGGCATTATTGAAGGTGAGTCTCTACAAATGAAGAAGAGTGAGCCAGGTAAACAGGAGCGGAAGAAACGGGCACAAAGGCAGGTTTGCAAGCGAAGCACTCCAAACACACCTAGTTTCCTCAATGTGATAATATACTTAACATTCAACTAATTGTATTTCTAGACCTTTTCCTAGACATGTACAATTATGCAGATGTACCTATAAAATACATAGTATTGTTTTATGTGTGAGTATTAGGAGCCAGAGGAGAGAGGGAGGTGACATTGAAAATAAAGAGGAAGAACTAATGGGAAAAGGTATTGCAAGCAAAGAGAATCATTTGTGGCCCGGCCGGCTAGCATGGTGCAGGGGTTGGGCATCAACCTATGAACCAGGAGGTCACAGTTCGATTCCCAGTCGGGGTTCATGCCTGGGTTTCTGGCTTGATCTCCAGTGTGGGGTGTGCAAGAGGCAGCCAATCAATGATACCCTCTCATCATTGATGTTTCTGTCTCTCTCGCCCTCTCCTTTCCTCTCTGAAATCAATCAAAAAAAATTTTTTTAAAGGGAATCATTTGTGAAAAGATGCTGAGATCAGAGATAGAAGATGCTGAGTGCAGAGAGGAGGGCCTAGTTGAAAACCAGTGAGAAGTTCTGGGTGGTTGGAGCATAAATTTCCCAGAGTTCTGGGCTGGGCCCACATTTGAAACAGCAAGAGTTTAGACTAAAATTCTGAAAATTAAACATAAGCACAGTCATGACTGAGAAAATGTTCAGGGAACGCTCAGAATATTTTTCCACCTTCCTCCCTCTAAACACACACCCAGCCCTTCTTTCCACGCAGCTCTGTCTCCATCTATTTTTCCCCCGGCAATGTTTTCCCTCCATTAGGATCTTCAGCCTTCGTTACACACGATGTCTTCATTAAACCCGTGTAGTGAGTCCTAAATCAGAACCTCAAAGTGACTGAGCTGAACCCTACATGTCCCCAGCTGGGATGTCCCAATGGAATATCCAGAATGGGCCCATCCCATTCCTATGATGTCGAGTCCCCTAGACCCCAAATCTCTGAAGACTTGGGGCCATGTTTCTCCTGAATTCGTCTCATAGTCCGTTTCTCCACCACCACAGCTTCCAACTCAAGTGCTTTCCTTCAATTTTCTTCAGCCACCTTCACCCACACACACCGACCACCTCTCATTCCTCTGAAGAACCACTAGCACAGGTTGCTGCGTCTAGCAGACTTTTCCTCAGATTTGCGGGTTGCAGAAAACAACCTCAAACTCAATGTCAGGTGTTGCCATAAAGTCAATGGATCAGCTGCTTCCTATCACCGGGAATTTCTCAGGAGTGTGCCTGTGAGCCGCTACTCTCCCACCTGCCTCTTTTTCTCTCTGACCCCTCCTCCTGCCCCCCACCACTGGACTTCCCAGCCTCTTCCTCTCAACTGCTTTCTTCCCCAGATCACGTCTCCCTGTTGGTTTCTCTCCCCATCCCCACTGCGGCCTTCCCTTCCTCCATCAAGGGTGCAAGCCAGCCCTTCTTCCCAAATGCAGGGCAGCCCCTGCCCTTCCCCATAGCGTTCTGTCCTTCCCACCACGCGCTCAGAAAAGAGCGCCCGCTGCCGTGCATCAGCGAAATACATTTGGTCCAGCCAGTCCCAGCCCTGAACCCGCTTCTGGAAACCCTACCACCCACACCTCAGAGGCCAACACCTGCCCGCATTTATTTTTATTTTTTTATTTTATATATATATTTTATTGATTTTTTACAGAGAGGAAGAGAGAGGGATAGGGAGTTAGAAACATTGATGAGAGAGAATCATCAATCAGCTGCCTCTTGCACACCCCCTACTGGGGATGTGCCCGCAACCAAGGTACATGCCCTTGACCGGAATCGAACCCGGGACCTTTCAGTCCACAGGCTGACGCTCTATCCACTGAGCCAATCCGGTTTCAGCTACCTGCCCACGTTTAAACCAAGTGTCAACATGCTGAACACGGCTTAGCAGATGCTCTTGGGGTGAGACTACTGCGCATCTTCACACTTGTCTTCCTTTTGAATTAGTTCCTGATACCTCCCCAGAGCCCGGTGTGTTCACCCTCATCTGCGGCCTCTTCCTCTCAAGAAGGGCTTTGTTTTGCACAGTCCTTCAGAGGGAAGCAGCAAAATTAAATTACCCAGCTCGTCATCTCTCGGTAATTTCAAAGTTAGCGGTGAGCACACGAGTCTCCGGGCTCAGCTCCCAAGGGCACACGCCGTCCCCAGAGATCACTTCCTCTGCGGGTTTGTCCCGGCCCACCTGTCTGTCTCCTGGGCACCATGGCAAGGAGGTGCAATCGCTGGTCCAAAAACGTCATGCCCCATTTCCCTGAATGGGCACGCGAAGGCCAGGCTGTGTCCTGAGACTCTAACAGGCTCCCGAAAGCCAGCTCCAATCACGTCACCCTCCGCTCAGAGCCCTTGGACAGGTCCGCTGTGCCAGTCAGGCCTTCCAACCTGGCTCTCAGAGGACCTCTGTGGCCACCGCCCGTCCTTCCACGTAGCCCAGATACCAGAGTCAAGGTCAAAAGTGGAAGACAGGGAAGGTGGGGCTGGCAGGTAGCACTGCCACGAGGGCTCATGTCCTAAGACACAGGGACCAAGGAGTTAGGAGCCTAGGGCCCCCTGATTCGCGGGGAACCACCTCTTCCTGCCTTTGCCAGGTGGAGCCCCGAGGACCCCCAAGCCAGGCATCCTGCTCACCCCCAGGCCCGCCCCCCTCCAAACCCTCTTCCCCATGCTTGACCCCCACCATCTTTTGGTTCCTCCTAAATCTCCCCGCATTCCTTCGTAGCCCCTTCGGATTCCTCTCACCCTGTCCAACTCTGAGCACTGAGTCCTTAGACTTCAATCCAGAGTCCTCTCTTCTAATTGCTTCCCAAACCATCTGTCTAAAGCCCCAATCTGGCCAAAGCTGGTTTGGCTCAGTGGATAGTGTCGGTCTTGGGACTGAAGGGTCCCGGGTTCGATTCCGGTCAGGAATGGTTGCGGGCGCATCCCCACCTGGAAAATCCTCCACCATCCTCCACTGAACACAAGACAAAGTCTAACGCGCCCTTGAAGGGAATCGAACTAATTTGGGCGACTGATTGCATTTTGAATACTGGGTGAGCAGGAGGCACAGAAGCTGGCCCCTCCGGAGGAGAGGGGGCAAGGGTGGGAGGTGAGGCCACCTGACACCTGACTCTGGGTCTAACAGAACCTGCATCCTGCAGACCCCGCTGGGCTGGGGCCAGCACGCATTCTGATTTCCTACTGAAGGAACGTATGGATGGACGGATGGCACTCTCCCTCTGCGCAGCCCGAGCCCAACACTCACCCGCATGGGCTCGTCCGGGAAGCCGGGCTTGCTCGGCCGGTCCTGGCGCCTGGACCTCAGGAGCTGCTTGGCCTCCTTTTCCGGCAGAATCGGGGAGGCCCCTGGAAGAGTCAGGACAGGGCCTTAGGGACTCTCGGGGGCACACGAGTTCACAGTGCAAGGCAAACAATTAGCAAGTTCAGTGTCAGGCAAAACACAAAAGTTCTTTCACAGGGGCCTGTCCCAGGGGACGCGGCATTCCGGGCGGCTCGGAGAGGAATTCTAAACGGTTTCCAATACGGCTGCCTCCGAGCCAGCCCTGCAAGCTTAGGCATCTTTACCGATTGCAATGGCCCGTTCCTTCTTAAGTGGTGATAATGACATGGTTTTGAAGACGTCTTCTCTCCAGTTCTCCAGTCAATGTGTTTCTCGTCCCGTAGGTTTGCCTTGTGGGATTTTTTTTTTTTTTTAATCCTCAATACACTAAACCAAGTTAAAGCTGTTATTGGAAAATACCCCGTGACAACAAGATTATGTTCAACTCAGTCATCAGGCATGGTCCCTCAAAGAAGATATTATGATAATAAAAATTATTATATTATGTTTTCGTAAACACACACAAACTCTAAAGGGCATCATCAGATAAAAGTTACCGAATTTTGTGATCTCATATGAACTCTAAAAGAAGGCATACTCAAAGATTTATCAGCTTTCTTGAGAATCAGTATTCAAATACATCTAAATATTTAAAACAAAATGTATCCCTAAGGATACCAATTCTGGGAGCCTGCTCTTAAAAAAACAAAACACTGAGTTACTATCCATTAATATGTACTTATACAAACAATACACATCTTATTTGAAATGAAGAAGAAGAAAAATATCTGAAAAACATAAACTGGACTTATTTCAGTTTATCACACCTGCCTAGAAATAGGCTGAGTGTCTGCAGTGAATGCTCACCTGAGGAGGTCAGGAAGGTGAGAAAGAGCACAAACACAAAGAACGTCTTCATCCTGCCTCGTTCCCCACTCCGCCTGCTCAGAATGAGTCGCACCCCGTGAGCCAGCCTATTTGAAGGAAGCCGGGTCTGGCCCCAGGCGTGTTTATGCTTTGACTGGCAGCGCTGACCAGTGTGATGCTAAGTGCATCTGACCCTGAGTTTTTAATATGACCAGGAAAATATCCTCCTCTGAATGCTCATCCTGAGGCAGGAAGTTATCCGTCCGTAATAGGACTTGCAGAGCTTGAATTCGAGAAAGCAGCATGCGACATGCGTGTCACTTCCACAGATCTGTGTTCCTCATCCAGGAGTTTTGAGTTTTCACCTGCAGCTTCAGGATATGTGCCTGTTTCACAGAGAATGAAGCATCTCTGACATCTGCGTATCTTAGGGCATTTTTTCCAAAGCCCCTTCGCCAATCTAATTTGATTTTCCCAGTCATTTCAGAGGCAGGCAGGGACATTAGCAAGGGGCGCCATGAGGATGAAAATTGTTTTGCTGACTTTGGAGCCAGAAAGACCAAGATGCGTGTCCTGGCCTCACCTCTCTCTTGAAATGTACCCTTCGGTAAGTCACCTTTCCTGAACGTGTTTCCCCTCCAGTAAAAAGGAGTGACGGTCCCTATCTGGTGGGATGCGATTAGGAGGGAGATGAACCACATGGCAGCTAGTACTACTCACCATTCTCCATCTCCCTTTCACATAAAGGAAGTGAGGTTCAGACAGGTGAAACCATATCCAGGTGCGCACATTATGGATGCTGAAATAGAGCCTCGTGCAATATTCTGTCATAAAACTGTAAGTAGCCATATACCATGCCATTTATTTTTTTAAAGACAATAAAAATCTCAATTAGCTAAAGTCCTTTCAATTTAAATTACCTACTACCCAGCCAGTGTGGCTCAGTGGTTGAACGTCAACCCATGAACCAAGAGGTCACTGGTTTGATTCCTGGTTAGGGCACATACCCGGGTTATGGGCTCAATCCTCAGTGGGGGGTTAAGGGGGAGAGAGGGGAGTTTGCAGAAGGCAGCCAATCGATGATGTTTCTCTCTCATTGAAGTTGCCAGCTATCCCTCTTCCTTACTCTTTCTCTAAAAATCAATAAAATATTTTTTTAAAAATAAATTGCCTAACAATATCACATAAAAGAATTATTAAATGTATTACAAAACTATGCCTGGACAGTATGTGACTTTTCGGGGGATAAAATTCTCAATTCACAGCAGTGACCTGATGGTTCCGTGGTTACCTTGCCAGCTCAAAAGAAAACAATCCTCTCTCGGTATTGTCTGAATTTATGCTAATGCTGTGTAACTGATATGAAATCCAAATGTTCTGCCCACTCTGTTGATATAGAGGTAGTCTGAAGAGCTTGGAAGCAAGAAAAAAAAAAATCATACATTGTTAGCCAAGTTGCCTTGTATGTTAATTTGCCCAAAATTAGATGTTTGGTTTTATGTATTCTGTGGCTATTAATGTTTTTCTGTGTTTACACAGTTTTCAAAATTAAACATCTTGGTTTTTTTAATGTACATTGTCAACTTGTTGGGGTGTTTTTTTTTCCCTCCTTGTGAATGGATCAAACACTAACTGGATCGTCTTATCAAATAAACATCATTTTGTAAACCAGAAAAAACAGCTTAGATGTAACTAGAAATTTCTAGTGTCCAATGTAATTTTACTACAAAGTGTTTTTTTTCACTCAGTATCTTTTGTTTATATCAACGCGGTCCAATAAAAACGTAATGTGATCAGATGGAAGCCACATGTGTAGTTCACATTTTTCTAGTAGCCACATTTTTTTTAAGTAAAATAACACATGAAACTTTTTCTATTATGTTTTATTTCACATGAAATATCCAAAATATTCTTATTTCAACGTGTAATTAAGATCAACAAATTATAAATGAGTTATTTTACTTTCTTTTTTTTGTAGCATGTCTTCATAATCTGGTATGTATTCCACACTTACATACTTCACATGCTCAGTGGCCACATATGGCTCACTGCTACCACACTAACCAGCACGGGCCTAGACTTTGTAACCTGTATGAATGTCTGCTGTGCTGAAACTAACTTAAGAGAATGTTAAATGCAAACTATAATTGAAAAAGGAAATAAAAGTTTTAATGAGAAAAATTAATCTTACATGTTTAAAAAATAAGAAAATAGCCCTACCCGGTTTGGCTCAGTGGATAGAGCGTCGGCCTGTGGACTGAGGGTTCTCAGATTCAATTCCGGCCAAGGGCACATGCCTGGGTTGTAGGCTCGATCCCCAATAGGGGGCGTGCAGGCAGCAGCCGATCAATGATTCTCTCTCATCATTGATATTTCTATCTCTCTATCCCTCTCCCTTACTCTCTGAAATCAATTTAAAAATATTTTTTTTAAAAATAAGAAAATAAAAGTTATGAATTAGTTCATCTTGGAATTTTCCAGTTAATATATCGGGACCACTATTGGCTATAGGTAACAAACTTCAGAAAACAAAACTGCCAATAAGGAGGCAGTATTGTACTAATTTTGTGAGTAAACCTACTGAAGGCAACAGGAACCAAAGTGTAGTCAAATGGACAAAAGATGTTTGTTGTTGTTTTTTGCTAAAGTTTGAAATGCCTTATTTGTCAGAACGAGGTTTACTAGTCAATCTCCTTTGTATATTACATTTACTTACATTTGTTGAATAAAAACTATTTTGAAGAGATAGAAAAGAGTCCTTCTTTATTTTCTCACAAAATCAGAATCCTTACTGAGCCCCACAAGACCCTGTATTGAAAGAGGCCCTGCTTTGGGCAATGGGTGCAAGATGGTGTGTGCAGATGATGTTTTGTTGAGTTGTACACCTGAAATCTGTATGGTTTTACAAACCAATGTCACCCCAATAAATTATTTAATAAAAAAAAAATAGGAGCTGTGTCACCTGTGCCTGCTGCCTTTCCCAACCCCATTCAGATAACTCCCCTCCAGCTCACGCCAATCTAGTCACACTTAGTTACTCTCAACCTAGCAAGTTCTTTTCCACCTCAGGACCTTTGCACATGCTCTTCCTCTCTCTGGATCCTTCTCATCCTTCAGGTATCAGTTTGAAATGTCTCTTGCTTAGGCAAGCCTGCCTTTACCAGCCGACTCAATGAAAGTTCCCTACCCCACCCCACCACCATTACTATCTCACAGCACTCACCACAATGTGTGAATATTGTCTTTATTTGTATATTTTTTTAAATTTGTCTCTTTGACTGGACTGTAAACTCTAAGTAAGATTCAATTACTTTCCTAATTTGAAAAAAAGAAGGAACCTCTCGTGAACTGGAGAGGTAGAACTGGAGAAAGTCAGGGGCCTGTATTCCACCCTGGGATTATGGATCAAGGTCTCTAGGGAAGACCTTTGGGTGTGATACTGGCAGGGCCATTCAAATGCCAATCAGCCGGGCCCCTGAGGGACACCGCTCCAAAGGGGGAGGGGAGTGCTATGGAAAAACTGAAAAAGCAAAGTCACCTTGTTGTGATGTCCCTCTGGTGGGGAGAATTCTCTTCCACCCCTCCTCTTCCTCCCAGGAAAAGCAGCAGCAGCCAGATCAATCAGGTGAGTCAGTAGGGCTCACAGCAGAAGATGCAATTTCCCAAAAAATCCACAAGGTGGCAGAGTAAAAGAGCAGAACCAGGGACAACCAAGACCAAGAAACTCAAGGCCACTAAGGTTAACTATCCTCAAAGTTGCCTGCAAAATCCCTGAGAATCTACTGGGTGTAGAAGGAGAGAGTGCTACGGTGCCTAAGACTATTTTCCTATGATTTTAATTAACTTGAAGATCGTCGTCAGATGCTCAGGCCTGCACTACCCACGTGACACTTGAGAAAAGGTAAAGGAAGAATGCTACCATCCGTATTCACAGCACCCTAACATAACTAATCTCTTCCCTTGTGTGGATTCCCGTATTTTTTAACTATCCTAAACAGTGATAGAGTTGACATCAAGCTCGTGGCATTGCTGGACTGAATACCGTTTTAGAAGAATAAGATGTGATTTCAAATTCTTCATAGATAGATAGATAGATAGATAGATATAGATATAATTGATTTTTTACAGAGAGAAAGGAAGAGGGATAGAGACCTAGAAACATCAATGAAAGAGAAACATGGACCAGCTGCCTCTTGCACACCCCCTACCGGGGATGTGTCCACAACCAAGGTACATGCCCTTGACCGGAATCGAACCCAGGACCGTTCAGTCCGCAGGCCGACACTCTATCCACTGAGCCAATTGGTTTCGGCATGATTTCAAATTCCGTGAGCTAAAGAAACTTCAAGGACAAGGGAACATCTTTTTTTAACTAGAGAAAGATGTTGAATCTGTCCCAAGAGACTTATAATGTGTCCAGAGTCAATTAAATCAATTCTAACATCCCTTTACGTAGTTGTTTTTGTCTTTTTTTTTTAATTGTCTGACTCTCCCATGAGCATAGAAACTCTATATGTTTACAAGGTACATCTAATTTCTTTATAGTTTTTAATAATAGTACCTCCATAAATTGCATGCTCACACCTACACCCATTAATTTACAAGCATACTGTGTGGGCAGCTGTGGTAGATTGAATCATTAGCATCCATTCACCACCACCTCTGCATACCCATGCTGTCTGCCACATGACTTGGCAGTCCTGCCCCTTGACCTTGGGCTCCACCAAGTGACTTGCTTTGGATAATGGGAGGGTAGCAGACTGGCACAGACAGTCTGCTGAAGGGGTATGAAGTCTATCTGCCCTCCTATAGCGCTGCCATTGCTACCCAAAGAGCTCCCCCAGGTAGCTACTGCCCCTTCAAGCTGAGCCTCAGAATTTTTTTTAATTTTTTTATATTTTATTGATTCTTTACAGAGAGAAAGAGAGGAATAGAGAGTAAGAAACATTGATGAGAGAGAAACATCAATCAGCTGCCTCCTGCACACCCCCCACTGGGGATGTGCCCGCAACCAAGGCACATGCCCTTGGCCGGAATCGAACGTGGGACTTTTCAGTCCGCAGACCGATGTTCTATCCACTGAGCCAAACCGGTTTCAGCTGAGCCTCAGAATTGACTCACAAGGAAAGCACCTGAGCAAGGAACCAGGTCTACACAACGTGCAGCTTACAGGGGACCCTCTCAAGCCAGCCCAGCCTAGCTCAGTGGACCCCTGGCTACCACAGCCTGAAGTAGAGCGACCACCAGCCTGCAGATCCTGGGATTAAAAGATTGTTATTCTAAGCCACTGGGTCTAGGAGTGGTTTGTTACACAGCAGTACCCTGACCACAGCTGACTGACACGGGGTTCTGCTGGGACGGTGAGTGTGTCCAAATCTGGAGCTGTGGCATCTAAGTTAATCACAGGGTCCTGAGGGAAGCTTCCTTCTAAAGGGAATACACGCCCTGACAGGTTTGGCTCAGTGGATAGAGCATCAGCCTGGGACTGACGGGTCCCGGGTTCGATTCCGGTCAGGGGCATGTACCTTGGTTTCAGGCACAGCCCCAGTGGGGGGTGCACAGGATGCAACTGATCGATGTTTCTCTCCCATATAGATGTTTAGATGTTTATATATATATATATATATATATATATATATATATATATATATATATATCCCTCCCTTCCTCTCTGTAAAAAATCAATTATATATATATATATATATATATATATATATATATATATTTTTTTTTTTTTTTTAAGTGAATACACATCTACCCCAGAGGTCGTGTGGTATAATGGTCAAGGTTATGGGCTACTGAGTCACCAATGGACCTGGGCTTGCTTGCATCCTGGCTCTGATATTTATTACCTGTGTTACACTGAAGCTGTGACATTGGGCAAACTATCCGAATCACTGTTTTCTCATCTATAAAGAAAAGAATAGTAATCCTCATAAAACTTACCCCATGGGATTTTGAGACTTAAGAGAGAGAAAGCATGCGTGAAGCATTTGACAGAATTGATAAGGGTCTAACCCTTGGAAATCACTCTTGTTGCTATTATTATCATTCCTTCTTCTCTTTGTGAAATCACCCTTATGTATACGTGCATACCCACCCCATTCTCAGACACGTGACAGAAAGTCCGTAAACATCTTTGTAATGACCAAATGATTAATCGCATACATATTAAGATATATAATTTCACATGTTGCTGAAATACAAATGCATCTGTATTTGCAAAGAAAGTGCGGGCCCTTCTGAATAGGAGTGGATCTCCCCCCCCCCCCCCCCCCCCCCCCCGTCCCCCCTTGGTATCCACACCCCGTGCCCTTCGGTTCTCTTTCCCTTTCCGTGCCCTAAGCGTGCTACACAAACACGCACTTTCCTGTTTGGAGCGGCGACACAATGGCAAGATGGTTTGGCCTCGCACGGGGGCCTTTCCGCCTTCGGCATGCTTCCCCAAGGGGCTATCATTTCTGCTCGGGGCCAGGACATTGGCCTCAACTTGAGCTGCCCAGCAGGTAAGGAGAGCCAAGGTCAGCAGCAGGCTCCTGACGGCCAGTGCCAGGCGGCCCTCCAACCTAAACGGGAATGACAGGGGCACTGGCAAAGGTGTAGGAGTGGGAAGTGGCACACATACACACCCTACGGGAGGGGGGCCTGGGCGGAATCGTTGGTGAAACCACCTCGAAGGCTACTGTCATATTGCATTTCATTCTGGAAGAGTGCTGGGCCTTTAAGTGGGAGAGAACAGCTCTGGTTCTTCAGGGGAAAAGTACTGAAATCTGTGTTGTTTTTCTCTGTGGGAGCTCAGTTGCGATAAGCTCCCGTGAGATAAGAGAAAGTCTAGCAACGGCCCTCAAACCTTCAGGGGCATCAGAGCCACCTGGAGGCTCACGAGACATCTGAGAAAGCCTTGGAAGCGGAGAATGAAGACAAAAGGGACCAAAGAAAAAGGCAAACTGGGGCAGAGATGATGCAGGCCGACAGGCAAACCACCACCACCACCACCACCAATATCCTCTGAGGGATCTTTTTTCTTTTTTTTTCCTCTCACAAAATGTAAACAGGATGCTGTAAAAAGGAATATTCACAAAACAAATCAACACAGAATTTTTTCAAAATTAGAAGCCATAATATAAATTAAAAACTAAATTAAAAGATTCACGGAAATTTTTTAGGAAAATAGAGCAAAGGGGAGAACAAGAGAGAGCTGTTAAACAAAAAAAAACAAAACAAAAAAGAAATAAGGAAAACAAAATTTTTAAAGAGTACCTTTATCCAAATGAGTTGAAAACTTATGTCCACCCAAAAACTCTGCACACCGATGCCTACAGCAGTTTATTCATAATTGCCAAAACTCAGCAGCAACCAAGATGTCCCTCGGTAGGTGGATAGATCAACAGGCAAATCCAGACAATGGAATAGTATTCGGCACTTAGAAAGAAATGAGCTACCAACCCCTGAAAAGGCATGGCGGAACCTTGCATACATATTACTCAGTGAGAGAAGCCCATCTGAGAGGGCTACATCTGTGTGATTTCAACGAGACGATATGCTGGAAAAGACAAAACGAGTGAGACAGTAAAAAGACCAGCGGTTGCCAGGGGTTAGAAGGGAGGTGAGGATGAAAAGCTGGAGCCCAGAGGGTGTTTAGGGCAGTGAATCCCTTAAGCATCGCACTGGCATGGTGGGTGCTTTTGTCCAAATCCACAGAACGCACAGCGCCAAGAGTGCTTTGGGTGACGATTGGGGGTCCAGGAAGGTTCCGCAGATGTGGCAATGTGCCTGTGGTGCCCCGAGGTGATGGCTGAGAGGCTGTGCATGTGTGGGGACAGGGGATGTACGGGAACTCTGTACTTTCTACTCCATTTCACTGTGAACCTAAACTGCTCTGAAAATAAAGTTTATATTTTTTTAAAAGGGAGTAGAGAGGGCTGTCTAGGTTTCATGTTCCAACAACAGAAGTATCAAAAAAGAGGAACACAGACAACAGCAAGGAGGGAGTCAACAAAGAATTGTAGAACTGAAAGACGTGATCTGCTGGACCGGGAGGACCCAGCAAACCTAGCAACGTAGAGGAAGGCAGGTTCACCTTTGTGGACTGTCAGAACACCAGAGGAAAAGAGAAGATTCTACAAGCTTCCAGAGAGCAAAAACCAGTCCCACTCAAGGGACCAGGGATAAGAATAACCTCAGACATCTCTTCAGCGACACCAAGAGCAGCAGAAATGGAACAATGTGAACGTTCAATGACATGCAGTATTATAATCATTGCCAACCCAGAATTCTATACCAGATAAACAATCAGGTGTGGAGGGCGGAGTAAAGAAATGTATAGACAGGCAGGGCCTCAAATGATGCCTCCCATGTGCCCTCACTCTAAAAGTTACTGACAGATGTGCCCCACAAAGAGAGAGAGAGAAAGAGAGAGAGAGAGAGAGAGAGAGAGAGAGAGAGAGAGAGAGAGAGAGAGAATTCACCAAGAAAGGAGAATCCAAGAGGCCCAGGAAACAGAAGGTACAAACAGGCGAGTGGTGAAGGGAAACCCTAGGATGACCACTGTGCTCTGACATAAAGAACGGGTGGTCCAGACAGGCACAAGGCGCCATGGGCTGGGGCACCATGAGGTGCAGACACGCTGAGCACAGACTGTCGACATATAATTCCTTTATAGTTTTTAATAATAGTAACTCCATAAGGTGAGCCTGGGGCAGATTACACGTTTTGTTTATTTTGACAACATGAGCTGGTGCGGTTCCACTTCCCTAACCCCGGGATCAGCGGAAGATCCTCATTTCTCCCCAGGAGCAGGGCATGCTAACCTTGAGAACTGGAGGGAGGTCCCAGGGAGCTAAGAAGGCAAAATAGAAAGCAACCTCTCTCCCAGCCATGTTTTTACCTGGCATTCCAACCACAGGGCTGCCCACTTGTCCCAGGACCTGCCCACTGGTTTTTGTTCTCCCAGGTGGGATCTTGTCAGGGAAGCTGGATTCAGACTCTGACCCAGACCCCACTCAGCTTACCTCCTCCGAGAGCCTCCCTAGTATGCAAGGCTTCACGGCTACTTCCTGCTGGGGCGGGTCTGGGTTTATTCTAAACGAAACCATATTGTTTCGGGATACTTTCAGGGGTGGGAAAATATTAAGAAAAGCAAGGGAATGAAGAGCACACAAATGAGGACAGTTGTTTCCTGCCGGGGGAGGAAGGATAGCCATCAGGTGGGTGCGGGAGAGGCTCCCAATGTTCTTTTTATTTTTTTTTAATATATTTTATTGATTTTTTACAGAGAGGAAGAGAGAGGGATAGACAGTCAGAAACATCGATGAGAGAGAATCATCGATCAGCTGCCTCCTGTACACCTCCTACTGGGGATGTGCCCACAACCAACGTACATGCCCTTGACCGGAATCGAACCCGGGACCCTTCAGTCCGCAGGCCAATGCTCTATCCACTGAGCCAAACTGCTTTTGGTGCCCAATGTTCTTTTTAAAAATAATAATAACTTATTTATTCACAACAACCATCATTTTGCTGTTACCCGCATATTAAGTATGAGTGGCAATGTGATTAAACATGCTTCATTCTTTTTAAAAACCTCAATTAACACTTGGTGATGCAGCAATTCAGAAGCCTGGATCTGAATTTTCTCTTTATACTGGGTTGCATGGTTTTGATCCCCAAAAAGGCCCTTCGGAAAGCTATGTGGACCCACAAGGAGAACGGACCTCGCTAAGTCACGGCTCCCTTTCCAGCTCCGTCCTACTGAGCAAAGGTTTCAGTGACCGTCTGGCCGTCCCCTTGGTGGCTCCCTCCCCCGGTGGAAAGCACGGCAATATTATGTTTTGAACTCCCAGGATCAAAACCCGCAGAAAGCATGTATTTGGGACACGTTAAGTCTGTCTGATCAGACAGGTGTGTACCTATTTGCCAAAACTTATCAAATTGCACCTTTAAAATGGGACACTGCTTTCCAAGTAACTGAGAAGGTAGGGTGACTCGATGGTGCCTTGATGGCTCACAAATAAGCTTCAGGATGTTCCCGGGGCAATCCTCCGGGGGCCGAGGCTGCCAGGACAAGTCAAGCATCACGGTCCTCCCCTGTCTTGAGTGAAGCAGACTGTTCCGCTTTCGGTCCCAGGGGCTTTGCAAAGCAGAGATAAGACTGAGCCACTGAGGGAGCCTGGGACACAGACGCTTCGGGCAAGTGCAGGAGTTGAGCATGTTCACAATCAGGACTCTGTGGGGCTCGGTGTGTGAGTGTCTGTTGTGTTTTTCTGAGCAAGTTTCCCGTTTCCCTTTGAATTGGAGCCAGTGTTTTCACAGACGGAGTGGCAGCAGCTGTGTGAATGGCCCCCTCCTCGCTAGCGTGCCCGCTGTCAGGCCTTGTTCTGGAGGCCCCTTCCCGCTGTGTGCCCTCTCTTCCCAGAGCCAGGGCTCCTCAGCGCCCCCTGCAGCAGGCAGTACCAGGGCACCCCTGGTCTCTGTTCTCCTCCCGGCCCTCTTCTCTCCAGCCCCCACATCCTGCCCCCTCCTCTTCCTCCTCTCCCAATGTCCAATAGGTTAACCTACGTGATGGGTCCACGGGTGTTTATTTTATTATTTTTTAACTATGCATATGTTTTATGAAATCTGTTGTATATGTGACCGAAACCGGTTTGACTCAGTGGATGAAGCGTCAGCCTACGGACTGAAGGGTCCCGGGTTCGATTCCGGTCAGGGGCATGTACCTTGGTTGCGGGCACATTCCCGGTTGGGGGTGTGTAGGAGGCAGCTGATCGATGTTTCTCTCACATCAATATTTCTAGCTCCCTCTCTCTCTCCCTTCCTCTCTGTAAAAAAATCAATAAAATATATATTTTTTTAAAAATCTGTTGTATATGTGGTATAGTTCACAATTTAAACAAAAACAAACAAAGTTTTAATAAATACATAAGAGAATTAACCTGGGGGAACTATTAAGAAGGCAGATAGATTCCTGGCTCCATCACAATTCTAATTGGGGACACCTGGTCAAGACCTGGCTAGATGAAGCTGGTGCAGGTGATTTGAAGACCACCTTCCGATACCTACCTGGGTCATGAGCATCACAGGTTTTGGCATCTCATTGGCTGGGTTCAAAGCCCAAACTCAGATGACTCCTGGCTGTGTGACATCAAGTAAGTCTTCTTCATCTGTAAAATGAGGATGATAAACTTTGCACAGAGCCTAGGATCTGCATGGCTATAATAAGAATTATTATTACTAATGCCTTTAATAATAGTAATTCATTGTGGAATAAGAGTGTTTTCCCCAGATGCGGTAATCTCTATTAATCTGTCCTTATACACATAAATTTCCCTGATGATTTTCTCTTGGCAAACAGAGACTATTTTGTTAAAAACTTTTCCATAAGCTTTAAACCTTTTATATCTTTAGCAAAATGTGAGACTCTAAAGAAAATCCCCAAACAGAGGAGTTATATATAATAGCAAAATGTTAGAAACCACTTAAATAGTCGATAATAGAGGTAAGGTTAACATACACTATGTACTATCATAGAATGGAATATTATGCAACCATTAAATACAAATTTATAAAAATTTGTAAAAGTCATTTTGTAATGTTTAAATTTAAAAAGAGCCAGGCAGAGAATATATCTATGATGTGATCAATATTACACATGCAACAAAGCAAACCAATGTTTCCAAAGAAAATAACGGAATAGGCCAAAATGTTCAAACATAGATTGTCTTTGGGGTGAGAGATGGATGATTGTTTTTTTCCTTCCTTTTTACTTTTCTATATTCTCCAAATATTTTATAACAGGATTTTTTTAAATCTCACTCTTAAAAAGTGCATTCTTTTGTTATCTTTTCAAGTCCAAACCAACTTTAAGCCTCTGCCTCCACTAGGATTCATAAAAGACAATGACATTTCCATTTACAGTGCAGGCTGTCAGAACAGAAGGGAGGCTTCAGAGAGCTCAGTCAACCTCCCACGTTACCAGTGAAAAGCCTGAGGCCCAGAGAAGTGAACTGACCAGCACAAGAGGATGGAGACATGTGAGGGCCTTAGATGATAAACTCAGCCAGGAGCTAAGCAAGTGCCAAGATGGAAGCGGGGCTTTATACACAGGGCTGATACATGCTTGTTAGGCACGTGTCCACAGGCCTGGCACTCTGCGAGAGCTGGAGCCCCTCTGGCAGTGCTCGCTTGGCACACAGGAAGCCTTCTGCCAGTATGAGTTTAACAAAAAAGAGCTCAGGTGACCTCTCTCAGTGTTTGACTTGGATCATCCCATTTTATTAGATATTAGAGGCCCGGTACACAACGTTAGAGCCCTGGGAAGGGGGTCTTCTCAACCTTCTCAGCCTCTGCCCTCCCACAATCCAGGACCTCTCAGGGGAGGTCCACCTGCAGGCCAGGGAGCAGACCTAAGCCAGCAGGCGGACATCCCTCGAGGGGTGCTTAGCACTGCCGCTACGCTCACCAGCTGTGAGTGAGCCTGGCTTCTGGCTGAGTGGCACTTCCCTTGTGGGAGCACAATGACCACCAGGGGACAACTCCTGCATTGAGCATCTGCCCCCTGGTGGTCAGTGTGAATCATAGAAACTGGTCTTTCTGCAGTTCGGTCTATTTGCATATTATCCTTTTATTATACTAGAGACCTAGTGCAAAACATTCATGCACGCATATAGTCCCTAGGACTGGCCTGTGATCAGGGCCATCATCCATGGCTGCCCACAGCCGGCCCTGTCCCCTGAAGCCACCCACCTCCAGGTCCCTGTTCGCCATTAGGCGACTGGAGCCTGCCAGCTGGGGAAAGGGACCTAAAGTTGGTCAGGATGCCTCATAGTGACTGGTCGAGGGGTCATTCTGGTTGATCCACTGTTGGAGTTAATTTGCATATTACCTTTTCGTTATATAAGATAGGAGGATGACACTTTCAAAACTGTCAGTTTTGCCAAAACCCGTTTGGCTCAGTGGATAGAGCCTCGGCTGCAGACTGAAAAGTCCCAGGTTCGTTTCCAGTCAAGGGCATGTACCTTGGTTGCGGGCACATCCCCAATAGGTGGTGTGCAAGAGGCAGCTGATTGATGATTCTCTCTCATCCATGTTTCTAGCTCTCTATCCCTCTCTTTTCCTCTCTGTAAAAAAATCAAAATATAGATATATATTTTTTAAAACTGCCAGTTTTCTCCCAACAATCAAAACTGTGCCAACCTCCCACCTCCACCAGATAGAGAGAGGGGAGGTTGAAGGTCTGAGATAAGCTTGACTCATACTGTAAATCATTCCTACTAGAACTTTCTATGGTTGCAGACTTAACAGGGCTCAATCACCATCCATCCTCTCTAAGGCTCCCCACTTCTTGTTACTCCGCCCAAAGTTCTCCCTAAGCCACGCCCCCAGTAACCGCCCCTTCTGCTCAACCCCGCCCCCTTCCCAAGGCCCCGCCCCTCTCCACGGCCCCGCCCCCTCCGGCCTCTCGGGCTGCGCGTCATCGCTCACACCCCCGCCCCGCCTGGCCCCGTGCCCCCGCCGCGGCCCCTGCCCACCTTCCTCCGGGTGCGGGGGACCGCCTCGGCCTCTCCGCTGACGCCGGCGCCCCGGGCAGCCCGGAAAAGGGCTCCTGCGCGCGGCTGCGCGAGGGCGGGAGGGCGCCCAAGGCCTGGCCCCCGGCCCCACGCGAGGTAGAGCCCGAGGGCGGGAGCGCGGGGCCCGCGGCAGGCGGGCGGGCGGGGCCGGCGGGGAGCCCAGCGGGGCCTGGAGCCGCTGGGTGCGTGGGGAGCCGGCCCAGAGGCCGGGCGGGCGGCGGGGGCCGTGCGGGGCGCGGGGTAACCTGACGGTTACGGACACGCGGCCCACGTGCGCCATCGCGCCGCCGGTGCCGAGGGGAGGGGAGGCCGCGGGCCGCAGGGCGAGGCCGGGGCGGAGCGTGACCGCGCGGGCGCCGCCCCCTCGGCGGGCCGGTCCGCGGGGCCTGGAGAACCGGGGCTCCTGCGCTGGGGCCGGGCCGGCGCGGGGAGGAACGTGCGCGTCCCCCTCCTCGGGTGCCGCCTGGAAGCCGGGAGGAGGAGGAGGGCGGGCGGGCACCGGAGCCCGAGGCGCACCGCCCGCATCTCTCTCCTTAGGAATCGCCCCGGGAGACGATGGAAGGCGAGGAGCGGCCGGAGCCCTCCTCGGGCCTGCTGGCGGACGGGCACCTGGTGCTGTGGACGCTGTGCTCGGTGCTGCTGCCCGTGTGCATCACCTTGTGGTGCAGCCTGCAGCGGTCGCGCCGGCAGCTGCACCGCAGGGACATCTTCCGCAAGAGCAAGCACGGCTGGCACGACACGGACCTGTTCGGCCACCCCACCTACTGCTGCGTGTGCGCGCAGCACATCCTGCGGGGCGCCTTCTGCGACTGCTGCGGGCTGCGCGCCGACGAGGGCTGCCTCCGGAAGGCCGACCGGCGCTTCCCGTGCAAGGAGATCGTGCTCAAGCCGGACGCCAAGGCCCTGGACGCCATGCCCCACCACTGGATACGGGGCAACGTGCCCCTGTGCAGCTGCTGTGTGGTGTGCACGCAGCAGTGCGGCAGCCAGCCTAAGCTCTGCGATTACAGGTATGGCCTTTGTGGGTACAGATGGGAGTCAGGGTTTAGGGCGTGGATGCAGAGGCCTGATTTGATCTCTGCAAATGGCCTGAGAGTGCCCACTGGGAGGAAGCACGCTAATAAACATTGAGGGCAGCTTTGCCATAGTCACCTGCTGAGATGATGATGCTATAGCGCCTCACGCCTCAGCCAGCTGACTGACCTTTTGTCTGCCGTTTTGTAAGCTCTCAGCTTCCATCCAGAGGTCTCTAAGAGCTGTGGCCTTCATGGCCACTTGTATGTTAAGAGTTTAGCTTTTGTTGCTATTATTTCCACTTTATGTAAGGGGGAAACAATGAAATACGGGTAAGTGAACTTTTCCCTAGGGTCGTAAAAGGGATTCATCCTCAGCGTTGTATTACGAATGTAACAAGGAAGACAAGTGTCATTCCAAAGCAGCACTTCAACTTCCTTTTTCGAATGCAGGTATCGGTGCTATGGTGACACCTAACACTTAAAGGTGTGCTCCTTTTGCGGGTGGTCTTTCAGGACATGTAGCGTCTCAGAGGAGTGGCTTTGACGAAGCCAGAAATATTTTAATGGCTTTAAATACACACGGAACAACAAAGTACTTTTGTTCTCAAATATTGTCTGAAACTAGGTAAAGGTCGTGTAAGGGATTGGTAATAAAAGGGAATGGTACTTTGCAGATCATTACTTATTATACGGTTGAGAGAATTGTAGAAAAACAGAATTCTAATCCCCTGGACAGGGTTTAAGGTCTTGTCTCAGCCTTAAATGTGGACTCATTGTGATGGGTTTCATTTCTGACATGAGAAAGGCCCCTAACCATGTTTAAGAACTGGTATGGAAAGGTGGCACTAAACAAGTGACGTTTGATGTCTGTTGTTATTTTCTAATCCTTTTTTTTTTAGTGTGAGCATTGTTAGGTCAACACCTATTTTTCTTAAATATATTTTTATTGATTTCAGAAAGAAAGAGGGAGGGAGAACGGAAAGAGATGCCTCCTGCCCTAGCCGGTTTGGTTCAGTGGATAGAGCTTCAGCCTGCAGACTGAAGAGTCCCAGGTTCGATTCCGGTCAAGGGCATGTACCTTGGTTGCGGCACATCCCCAGTAGGAGATGTGCAGGAGGCAGCTGATCGATGTTTCTGCCTCATCAATGTTTCTAACTCTCTATTCCTCTCCCTTTCTCTCTGTAAAAAATTGATAACATATATTTTTTTTTTAAAGAAAGAAAGATGCCTCCTGCACATCCCCCAACTGGGGATTGAGCCTGCAACCCGGGCTTGTGCCCTAACCAGAAATTGAATCATGACCTCCTGTTTCATAGGTCAAAGCTCAACTGCTGAGCCACACTGGCAGTATTCAACACCTATTTTTTAAGTCTTATTTTTTTAGTTTTACCCATCAGATTTAGACTTAAGAATTAACTTCCCCCAAAATATATTTTAAACAACTAGAGTTTTGTTACCACTCATTTTTATTTGGTCTCTTGTCCTTTTGGCATCCATGAGAGCTAGGTTACCAATGTCTTTACATTTTATGGTTCTCCCTTTACATTTTATGGTTCTCCCTCAGTCTTCAAGAGCTGAGATTAACTGGAAAGAAGACATGAACTTAGTATCGTTTTATTTCCTTCCCTCCTTTGTGTTGGTACAGAATTAGATAAAAGTGGCTGCCATAAGTGTCTTAACTGTGTTTTTAGAAAGATCATTAGGGTGGAGGATCAGAGCACTGTGTTGATCTGTGAAGGAGCAGACGGAGTACCTGCTCTGTTTAAAACGCTTCCATTGCTCCCATCACAAGCACTGAAGGTCTTTCAGTCTAAACTCGAAGTGCTTAACACAGTCCTGCCTATTCTCCGCACCCTGCCTGCCCTTTTAACCTCACTACCACTGCCTGCATTCAACTTTTCTGTATAAGCAACATCAGGCAGGCTGTCCTTTTTTGTCCTGCCCTTTTTATTTTTCTCTCAAGGCTTTCTTTCCTCTCAGTCTTAAGTATCCTTCTCCTGGCTAGCTTCTATGCATCCTTAAAGACTCACCTTGAGCCCTTTTCGCTAGGAATCCTTGCCCTCAAATTTTTCCCTCTGGATGATAACATAATATCCTGTTTCTCTCTGGTTCTCAAAGTCAAGTCCCCACAACCACGAGCAGCAGCATTACTTAGGAACTCGTTGGAAATGCAAATTCTAGAGTTGCCAGATTTAATGAACAAAATAAAAATTTTTGCTGTACTTGGAACCTACTTATTCCTAAAAATTACTTACCTGAAATTCACATTTAACTGAGCAACCTCTATTTTTCCTGGCAACCCACTGAATCAGAAACTGGGGCTGGGGACCAGCATTCTTGGCTTTAACAGGCTCTGCAGGTAACTCTAAAGTTGGAGAACCACTTGTATATTTATGTAGCTTTTTTAAACATGAGCCTCTATCCTTAAATCTTGTGTCCCCTCCCCACTCCCTTGAGCACAGTGAATGTTTCTGCTGATAAATCTCCTTTGCCTCATTACCTTGTTCTTACTGGTACTGAGCAGTCTGTCCAAGCATGCAGAACCCTTCACCCATGGGAGAAATGGTCTCTGTGTCACTTAGGAAGGGTTTATTGTTCACAGGAGCAAAGAGCACAGTGCCCCGAAGTGGCACATGTTCTGCAATGTTCTGACTTATTTCAGCCAGAGATTTTATTCAGGATTCCAGTCAGCTATGACCTTCTGTGGAAATGAAATATTTGAGAAAGAAAAACAAGATAAATATCTATTTAGAACTTTTTTTTTTTTCCTGAAGAGGGAGAGAGATAGAAATATCAATGATGAGAGAAAAATCATCGATCAGCTACCTCCTGCATGCCCCCCCACCGATCAAGCCCACAACCTGGGCATGTGCCCCCAACTGGAATCAAACCTGGGACCCTCCCACTACCCTGGCTGATGCTCTATCCACTGACTAAACCAGCCAGGGCTATTGAGAACTTTTAAACACAGGCCAGCCTGTCCCTGTCTCTGGATTTTATCAAGTACTGCTGGGGGCTCCTATTGGGATAGCTGCAATGTTAAATGAACTGTGAAGGCGGTACAACAAGTTAGCGTTTCAAAGGGCAGTAATGACAAGTGATGCCTGCAGCCCAGTTAAACTCAGCAGACCAATGACAAAGGCCCTTTAATTTTTGCTCAGTCATTATGTAGTTTTCACATAGTAAGCATCTGTTTCTTGCCACACATTGTGCTGGATTCTTACTTTCCTGTAGATTTTTTTCCTTTTTTTTTTTTTCCTGCTTCTACTTCCTTTTAATCTTTTCACTTCTCTTCTAAACTATTGTAAATAGAAAATTAGTTTATATTTTTAAGTATTCATTACAGTTATTAAATGAACCTTTGTTCCTTTTGTGTTCTGTCTCATTAAGAAAATGTAAGGTGCCTTTTTATTTATAAGGTCTTTCTTCATTACATCCCTTTATATCTCTATGTTCTATTGGCATGTGTTTATGCATTTTATTAATTAACTGAAACAGTGAAAAATAGCAAATCATCTTCTAGAACAGAAATAGGCAAACTTTTTCTGTTAAGAGCCAAAACTACATTATTTTAGGTTTTGCAGGTCATATGGTCTGTCAAAATTACTTAACTCTACTATCTGATGTAGAACAAAGCCAGCCGTGGACAATACATAAATCACTGGGTATAGTTGTTTTTCACAAAATCAGGTGGCAGGGGTATAGGTCTTCACAGCATAAAAACATTTGAATAAACCACAAAAAGAAATATAGATCTATCAAAAAATAAACTTACGTACATTAAAAAGTAATTTTAAAAGAAAGCAAACTAGTTTGCAATAAATATGATAGGAAAATGTTTATCCTACACACATTAAAAAATACATGCATTTATTAAAATATAGGGCATGAATCAACTAACAAAAGGCCAAAAATAACAATTCAACTTCACCTGGTGATCAAAGACATCCAAATGAAAACAACAAAGTACTTTCCTTGTCTATCAAGTTATAAAAAACAAAACAAAACATGTTAAGTCCTAATGAGCAGTATTAGCAAGTGTTAGATACGATGGACACCTTCATGCATTGATAAGCATAT